CTTCTCCCACCGTGCAGTGTCGCTGAGGTGGTGTCGGGAGCCAGATGTAAACGCTCGGTGCTGGGTTCTGGCATTGATCCGATATTTAAACGGAGGCATATTCTGGTTCGCGGAGAAAGTGCCACGCTGCTCGCTGCCCACGTGCCTCCTGGACACGCGTAGGCGTGTGTTTAAGTTCTGGATCCCAAAGCGCCATTTGCCATGATTCTGAAATTCTCTGAATCTCAGAGTCAGGCTGAGGTGGTTGTGTGATCTGTGGGAGCTAATCCCAAACCTATCAGCCGGCCAAATCAGAAACTAAGCCATCTATCGAGTGGAAGCACAGGGAAATAGGGAAGATAATGCAGTAGAGCTCTGAGAGCAGCTGTGAAATCGAAGCCTCAGGGCTTTGCAGTCCTCCTCTGTGTTCTTTTCCATGACAAATCAAATGGAGTCCAAGCCTGATCCACGGACTGGGAAGCTCCTTATCCCAGTGCTTCCCTCCTTTCTCCTAAGCTGCCTCTGACTGTGCTGCCATATCGCAGAGGCTGCCAGCATTCAGTGGCTGGAGTGAAAGGATAGAAAGATTGACTGTGTGGATGGCCACAGGCCTAAGCTGAACTAAGTTACTTCGGAGAGAGTGAATATTTGGGCTATTGAAAACGTCATCCCTTTGCTTATAGCGTGTCAGTCTTCAGTCCTTACCGGAGCTGCCTGGGAAAGGCAGTGATTCTCCTTTTTCTGAAGCTGTGCACTGGAAATGTTACAGGCAGTTGTACTGCTCATACAGAGTTTCTCGGAAATGCTCTTTTTCCAGAATAGTTTTGAAGATTTTGCACATTTATCTTAATGTTTCTGTCCCAGTTTCGCAGCTGGTCTGTACACAGAGTAATTCCAACACACTTGAGGGAGACATCCACTGATTAAATGCAGATCACCTGCTTAGGATTTGGGAAATGAGGCCAGGATTTCCAGAGCACATCAGACTGAAAACATGCAGCGTGGAGCACACACATGCTTTATTTTGACTTGGAAAATACCAGATGGAAAACTGGCAGTTGTAAAGTGGATCAAACAAAGTAATATGAAATTCCAGTGGACCTGAGGAGACCCCTAGTTTCTCATACTAGGGAAATGTCCAGTAATCAGTTGTGCTGATTTTATTTCAAAACTTGTCTTTATTCTGATATATTACCAAAAGTTAATAAATAACTTTCTCTGATTTATCTCCTAAATATCGTGCAGCACTCAGGCTAATTCCTAAGACATATTTTTGACCAAGATCTTATTTTCCTCAAACTGAGATAGACATTTTCTGTCCTGTGGAATAAATGCAGAAGATCTGGTGGTTTGTTCAGTGACTTGTGTTTCAAACGTCATTATTTATTAACATTTTCCATTTCCTTCATAGCTTTTGGATTTGAGTTACACCAGGCCTGGGAGGTACATAGCATAAGGCTGCTTTTTCCTTTGTGGCATGGGGAGAAATATAACATAGGCAATTATCCTACAAATTATCCATTTATTTTACAATTTTTAAGACTAGCACTCCTCAGTTCTTGCAATTTTGGGGAAAGCTTTAGGAGATTTCAAAGGGTGTGAAGAATTACTGTGGAAGGAAGGGCAAGATCTTCAGCTGGAGGTTGAAAGCTAGAGGCCACCACAGCATTATGAGGTTAGTGGACTGAGCCTCATACCAGACCAACTCAAAAGCTCATGTGACTTCTGTTGGCAGCTCACAGCCCAAAGGACCCAATAAATGGCAAAAAGGGCATAGATGAAGAACCCCATACCCCTTCCTTGGATCAGAGCACTCAGATGAGTCAGCAAGGAAGCTCCCTGTTGACTTCGTTCCCACATTGCAAAGATCTCCTGACTGGTCCTGCCAGCCACAAGCCTGGTTTGTGCCAGTGATCCAGCTCAAACCATAGCTCAGCTCCAGAGGGTGGCTCAGGATCTGAGCCAAGGTCTAGGGAAACTGTCACATTTTTACTTAATTCAGTATTATGAACTTGATGGTGAAAACAAGCACAGCTAATTACACCAAAGTACCCAACGCTCACCTTTAAGGTCAGTACCTGAGTGAACAACTCTTCTGTGACTCCCAGAAGGGTCCTTCTGATTATGAAAAAAATGATGCATCATTTTATGTACAGTGTCAAATACCTTCTCTTCTGCAAGCAGGAAAAATAGTCACTTGATGAATAGGTAGATGCTGGTTTATTGTTTAAAAACATATAATGTGTATGTCACAATCTACTGAAACCATATTCCTGTCAAATCTGGTGCTTTCCTTGCCTATGGAAGGACAGCCGAGGAAGTGTATTTGTATGTATTTGAGCATGCTCTCATCTGTGTTGTTCTGGAAATGGCATGGAACAGGATGCTGAGAGCTGCTCAAACTGGGAAGTTGGCAGTGCTGACCAGGGATTCCCCAGAGCAACCATACCAGGTTCTTTATAAGCAGCTGGTTCCACCAAGGACACTCATCCTATCCAGAAACATACTCATGCTCTGTGGCTCCTCTTTCCTCCCTGGTGTGCTGACACTGAACCATCCAAACTCCTTCACAATCTCCACAGAAATCCCCATGTATTATTTTTTTCCTGGATTTTGCCTCCTGCTCTCTGGCTTTGGCCTGATGGTGGGAGATTTCAGTCCTCCTGGTCCAAGCAGAGAGATAATCTATGCTCTATTGCTGTTATTCCCTGTCAAGTTTTAAAGCTACACAGCCTCTCCCTTATCCTTCAACGCCTCATCATCAGCATGACTAAGGACAGGTTGTTCACTAATAAAGAAATGACCTTTGCTAGGAATAGCTGTCATAAATCTCCCTTTCCTTGTCCCTCTGTACATGAGCCTGCAGAAATGTCACTGAGGGAATCAACTAATTGGATTATGTCAAATTTGCAAGAACATTCCTCTTTCTGAGGCGATGGGCTGTGTACTTGAGGTTACCCACATCTGCCACGTTTTAAATGTGTCTGGATTTCTAGATCCCATCAAACCTTTGATCCCATGTTAAATAAGGTAGTGGAAAATATGCACTGACCTCAGTAATAAGTGTAAGTACCATCCTAGTCCCCAACACATGTCCCTACCTGATGCTTGACCCTGTAACATTCAGTTCTGTAACAAGTCATGCTACATTTTATGGTAGCACACTTGCCTGCTCTTTTTCTTTGTTTCTTCATATCCCAACATTTATTTATATATATATATATATATATATTCACCAAAAAAAAATCATGACAGTATACGTAGCAAAACATTTTTTTAATCCTGCCTTTGTTTCTTGTTTGTTGCTGGAAAAACTCCACTCAGATGTCTTTTCATGTGATCTGGTAACACCAGAATAATGTTTTGAATATTCCCTCTGCTAAATATCAGTGACAATTGAAAGGGTGCAGGTGTGTGTGTGGAATACCCCATTTTATTTGTGCAATGCAAGCTTCACTGGCAGCTGAGAAAAGGCGATTCCCACATTGCAGAATCAGACAGCCCAGTTCCCATCATAGCCTGGAATGAAAGCACATCATTTCAGCAATACCCCCAGCTGTGCTTAAGGCATAAAAACATCACCATTTGTTCTTGCCTTACAAACAAAAGAAGCAGATTTTAGGTTGTGCTCTGGCGGGCTTGTGCTTTGTTAACACTGGCAGGGGCTGAGGGAGGCAGCCTAGCCTGGTTCTTGCCTATGGAACAGCTCCCATGTGCAGCATT